ATATTGAGTTATATGTGTTATTTATGCCATTTTCTCTTGAAAAAAATGTAGATCATGTCCTGTTGACTTTAAGCCAAATTCATACCATGTCTTGTTGCTGGATTTAAACCAAATCCTGGCACATGATGATGATAACATGATGATTTTTCTGACATAGTCTCTATTTCTTATATGTTTGTTCTTTTAATAAAGGCAATTTATTGAATATAAAATTCTATCTCAGTGATTATATATGTAAGCTTTTCCATATCAGTCCTAAGTCTAGGAAATAACCTTATGTCTTATGTGTTTTTCCTTGAAATGGAAAATAGCATACTTATATACAAAATATATGCTACTGCATATGTTGGATAAATAATGTGAGGGATTCTCAGGATGAGATTTCATATGTGGTAAATTGATGTTCCCAGGTAAAATAATTGCCCAGGATCATGCAGATAGAATTGGTCACTTTTATATTTCACTGTGTGAATTATTTACCAATGTTTCTCCAATGGTACCCACACCTGATACATAGTGGAACTTAATAAATATTTGGTGAATGAATAAATCACTGATTTGACTAACAGTATGTGTCCCACTATGGAGTGGAAATACTAACAGGAATGAAAAGATCAGGAAGGCCATGAGTCAAGGTCTTCATCTTTGGGGATGATCCAAGGCTTCCTAGGCAGTGAGGCAGAAAGTAGCCAGCAGTCACCATGGTGGATCCTCAGCATGGAGGGGCTTGATTTGTGCCGTAGCTTTCTGACTCATTCCAGCCTCTTTGAGGCCCCATGTCAGTCCAACAGAGTGCTCCAGCCATGAGTACAGGGAATTCCGGCTGAACAATTCATGTTCTGTAACATCACTGCCTAGTCCTGCTCTGCTCCCCTCGTCATTGCTTCCCAAGTCCTGGCCCTGCTGGGTTGGTTTCACTTCAGTTTCTGGCTCTGTAGTTTCATTTCCTCAGGTGTCAATCTCAGCTCTCTCCCTTCAAGAGCAGAGGCTCCATGGATGGTTCACGGATAACATTGCCCCTGTATGGTCCAGCTCATCCTCCTTTTTTCAGGTGTGGCCCAGAGTCAGGTTGCAGCAGACTTGGCTCCATCTTTCAAGTAGGTAGAAACAATGTCCTGGGAACGCCTTTCATGCAGTCCCTTCTCTCTGCTTCTCTATCTTGAGTTCTTGTCATGCTTCTCTGTATGTATACAGTGGATCAAGGCATATATGTGGTATTGCTTCAGATCTTTCCCCCTATCCCTGTGCTCCTTCTGTGTTCTCAACTCACTAAAAGGCAACTCCTCCTACCCAGCTTCCAAGCCAGTAACCTGGGAGTCACCCTTGGCTCATCACTCCACTTCACCTCCTTCATCTACTGTAGTCCCTCCTTATTTGTGGTTTCACTTTCCTTGGTTTCACTTAGCCATGTTCAATTGTGGTCCAAAATATTAAATGGAAAATTCAGATGTAAACAATTCATGGGTTTTAAATTGCACACTGTTCTGATCTGTTCAGCTGGGGACATGAATCATATCTTGGCCCAGTGTACTCATGGGGCAGAATTAAATACTATAAGCATGGGTACATCCCACATCCTCTGCAGAGATTAATATTTAGAACAAATAAGGAAAACCACTATTTAATTCTCTTAATTTTCTAAGGAAGAAAGAGAAACCCATGGATTCCAGTTTTCAAAGACGTGCAAAATGTAAAACTGAAAGATATTTTACATCATAATTATAAAACTTTGGTTGTTAAGTTTTAAATATAAATTTAAAATAAGGACATTTCCCTTTTCTGATTTACTTATACTCTGGAGCCTGACTTCTTTGGTGTCATTTACAAATCTATCATGTATTAGTTGTGTGTTCTTCCTTAGGTTACTTACCTATCTGTGCTGCAGTTTCCTAATCTGTGAGGGGATAATACTAGTAAGATTAAATACATTAGCATCTATAAAAGAATTAGAGCATCACTGGCTCATAGTAAGTGCTATGTGTTAGTTGCTGTTACCGTTATTTTTAAAAATATATATTTTATTGGTTTTTTTTTTACAGAGAGGGAGAGGGATAGAGAGTTAGAAACATCGATGAGAGAGAAACATCAATTCAGCTGCCTCCTGCACACTCCCTACTGGGGATGTGCCCACAATCAAGGTATATGCCCTTGACCGGAATCGAACCTGGGACCCTTCAGTCTGCAGGCCGATGCTCTATCCACTGAGGTAAACCAGTTAGGGCACTGTTATCATTATTACTGAATATTGCAATGAATTTATTTTATACATGTGCAGGCCTCTTGTTCTTTGCCTAAATAACCCCCTCCACACACATTTTTCCTGGCTAATCATCCTTCAGGTCTCAGCTCAATTTACAATAGAGAAAAGTTAGAACAACCCGAATGGACTGACCTAAGTAACAATGGTTAAATATAAATTTTGGTGTTAACTTTTGGTATATACATTCAATGAAATATAACTCATACTTATTTTAAATAAGTTGAGTTTCTAATGACAGGGAAGAATATAAATAAATGATAATAAGATATGCTATTTCAAGAAAGACGATTAAGTAACATAGCAAAATGCAAAACTGTGTCCAGAATGCTGGGCAATTTTTGTTTTCTTCTTTTCTTATTTCTTATTTTTCCTCAGTTTTGTTCAGTGACCATGTATGTACATTTTCCATGGAAAATAAAACAAACTAATATAAATTTTTATAAAAATCAGATATCACATTTTGGGGAAGACTTTCTCAATACTTAACCACCACTTTCCAAAGCATGTCTCCCCTGCCTGACATAGCAGGTACTCAATAACAGTTTACTGATTTATTTTCATCTCTTGCTAAATGTTCCAGCCTGGAAAGAGCTAGAAACAGGTATAAAAGCACAATTTGAAGGAAGTAAGATGCTTCACAAAGAATCCTGAGGGTTTGCTTGAACCCATCAAATACTGGTGACACTTTAAATTTCTGTCAGGAATGTAACATCCCAACTCATGGGATAGTCATTTATTTCACTGTCAACATCACTAGACTACAAGCTTTTGGAGGGAGTGGTGGGGCTTCATTCTGCTCTGCTTTCCCTGACAAAAAAACAGAGTGGAAATGGCATGGATAGCAAAGTCTGGGTAAATCCCAGGGAATACAGGACACACCCTCTTTCCCTTAAAGTAAGATCCTTGACACATGAAGATGAAACTCCACCAACAAGGAGAGACCAGGAGAGGTACTAGCATGTGTGATATGAGGGATTACAGAACATTAGAGCTGGGGATAGGGGTCTTGGTGAAGATCAGAGCATTTGAAGCAAGATTCGCACAAAGAAAAAGGTGAGGACAGAAAGGATGGAGGAAAGAATACAGTTTGTGTGTGTGTGGAGGTAGTGGTGGAGGCAGTGATATAAGGTAGGATAACAATGTACTTTATCTAGTGACCTTGAAGTGCCCCAAGATGTTGCTCTGCCCCTTCCTATCCCACATCTCTACAGTATCCAGGGTGTCTGTTTTTCTGTTTTCACACTTTGTTCTTTCTCAGAGCAGAAGTAGGTAGCAATTCAAGGCTGGTGGTGAGAAGGTGGGTCGGAGTGGCTAAGCTGAAGGTGAATAGAGAACTTGATCCAATCATCCTAATCACCCTCACTTGCCCACTGCATGCGCTATTGTATTCCTGGTCTTTGTGGGCTTCACCTCGCCACCTTCAAGTCAGCTTCAGGTCTCAGGGCGAAGGCCTCCCAGAAAGCAGCTGCCAAACCAAGCGGGCTTTACGTGAACACAAGGCATTCCCCATGGATGGCTGGGAGGCACCCACATGCTTAGATTACATGTTTTACCCGTAACATTGGTAAACTCCTGGCTAGGTATATCCAATCCCATTTTCACACTGGAGGAACATTCCTTTTTTCCCCCCTTTTTAATTTTTTCAATTACAGTTGACATTCAATATTAATTTATATTGGTTTTAGGTATACAGCGTAGTGGTTCGATATTTATATAACTTACAAAAGTGAAAAAGATGAAGGGATTAAGAAATACAAATGGGTAGTTGCAAAATAATTACCAGGAAGTAAAGTGCAGCTTAGGGAATGTAGTACATAATATTGTGATAACTGCATGATGTCAGATGGGTGCTAGCTTTCTTGGGGGATCACTTTGTAAACTATAGTGGAACATTCTTTCTCTGGGTCTTCCAAAATTGATTCTTACTATTTCTTTCCTTTTGCATTATGGGTCCAAGTGAACCTATTGGAACCTTTATTTCTTTTCCCTTCTGTTCCATTCTTGTTCTAGGACAGACTGACGCAAAATACCCTCCTAAAGTCAGTCCTAATAAGACGGCTCTTTGTGTGTGGCACAGCCCCTACTGGTAATAGTTTCTCTCTTTGTGTTCACATTCTATATTTGTGACAACAGGTTGGAAAGAAAATAGATTTTAGAGTCAGAAGAATCTCATTGCAAATCTTGGCACTGTCACTTAAGAGTGTGGCCTTGAGATCATCAGTGAACCCTCCTCTGTTCTTCCGTCCTTATTGCTTCAGGGAAATAATGATACCCCTACTCAGGGTCAAGGTGGGATTTGATGTTAGGTGAATAGACAACTTTCCCAGTGCCTGGCACATAGTAAATGTTCAGTGAGTAGATTATTGTCCTGCTGTATCCTTCTGCACATTCCATGCTGGACTCTTTCTTATGTCCCAGAAAACATGTAGGGCACTGAGATCACTCAGTCCAGCAGAAGAAGGCCCAGGAATGTGACATGGAATTCTGGATCCTCTTTCCTTCTTTGGGCCAGGCTTTGACAATCCTGGAAAGACTGATGTGAAGCCTGCAGCTTCTGAAGGTGCCAACCACCAAGAGCAGCATGGAGCTCTTATATACAAACTCCTCCTAGCAGGTGTGAATGTTGCATCCTTCCTCTTGGGCTTACAATTCTCTCCTCAGTCTCAGTCACTGCCTTTAGTGTACCACTTTAGAGTGCAGCCCACTTCTCCCCTCCACCTCCTCCTTTCCATCGTGATGACATCACCCTGGGGAAGAGAAGCAGTGCAGAGCTTCTCACTCTCAGGAAAGCCTCTTCTCTGCCAAGACCACGAAGCTCTGTGTGGCTGTCCTCTCTCTCCTTGTGCTAGTGGCTGCCTTCTGCTCTCCAGCGCTCTCAGCACCAAGTGAGTCTGTTATTTCAGGTACTACTTCTAGAGCCATGGTATAGGCAAAGCCATGGTATAGGCAGAACCCACTTTTCTAGTGGGGGCTGATTCAACATTGGCATCTGGGGATGGACAAAAGAGAGCTGGGAGAATTTTTAAGTAGGCTTCTGTCAAATGTAGTGTCCAGCAGACATTCAGTAATATTCAAATTCCTGTTTCCTTAAAAAATAGTAACTCGTAGACTTGTTTAAGAAAGTCCCTGTCTCTAGTGCCCATCAGTATATGAGTGGATAAAAAAAGCTGAGGTACATTTACACCATGGAATACTATGCAGCAATAAAAAAGAAGGATCTCTTACTCTTTGAGACAGCATGAAGGGACCTGGAAATCATGATGCTAAGGGAAATAAGCCAGTCAGAGAAAGATAAGTATAGCATGATCCCACTCATATGTGGAATCTAACAAACAAAATAAACTGATGAACAAAATAAATCTAGAGACATAGAAGCATGGAACAGACTGCAGAATCTCAGAGGGAAGGCAGAGGGGGGTGGGAGGGTGGGAAGTGATCAAATAATTTATATGCATATATGCATAACCCACAGACACAGACAATAGGATAGTGAAGGCCTGGGGTGGGCGAAGGAGACGGGCTAGAAGGGTCAATGGGGGGAAATAGGAGCCATATGTAATATTTTCAACAATAAAGATTTGATTTTTAAAAATGGAGGTATATGTGTGCTCTGAGACTCAATCCAGCTCTGTGATCTCTTAGGATCCTGTATTCAGAAAAAGTCTCCTATGCAGTGGAGTGGGATTAGATACAAGGGACCGTATTTGGTGATCTGGTAACTCCACAGAGATGCCCCTTGAATATCCATAACTAAAATTCAAAAGAGCAATTTCTTGTAGAACTTTGAGCTTACCTCAGCCTTTCTTTACAGTGGGCTCAGACCCTCCCACTGCCTGCTGCTTCACTTACATCCCATGGAAAATTCCTTGCAACTTTGTGATGGATTACTACAAGACCAGTAGCCTTTGCTCCCAGCCCACCATGATGTAAGTATCATGCCCTGGGCTGCTTTGGGATGCAAGGGCAAGGGCAGGATTAGATAAGGGGCATTTTGGGGCAGGGAGAGGATAAAACAGGAGGAAGACAGTCTCAGGGTTAAAGCCTTCCCAGACAGCAGTAAGGAATAGGTTATGAAGAAATTAGAGGCTAGGAAACCAGGGAAATTTAAAAAGACCAAAGGACATGTGGGCTAATTCTTAAACCATGCTTAGAAAAACACATGGAAAAGTGATTGCTAGGGGATCTAGGGAATGAATGGGAAAATATAGCCATATTGATTGTAAAACTCATTGGTTCCTAATCTGGACAACCTTGAGGCCACAGCTAAATCCAGGGTAGAAGTTACAAGAAATTCATTTCTAGTATCACCCCAGCAGCATCCTCTCACCCACTAGAACTGTCCAACATGAACAGAGGGAGATATCTACCAAAGACAAGGTCCCATGTGATTGTAATCTATCTACTTCTTGTTCCACAGATTCCAAACCAAAAAGAGCAGACACGCCTGTGCCAACCCCAGTGAGGCCTGGGTCCAGGACTACATGAATGACTTGGAGCTGAACTGAGCCACTCCAGGGACAGGGGCAGCAGGTCTCCAGGAAAGGTACCTGAGCCTGACACTTCTCACTGAGACGCACCCTCTCCATGTTCACAGCTCCTCTCAGTAGTCCTTGTTCCTTCTCTTAATTTAATCTTCATTATGTGTTGTGTTATTTTATTGATGTTATTTCCATAATTTATGTTGGTTTTGCCAAAGGACACATATTCTCCATGGGGATGGTCCACCATCAGTTTCTCTGCTATTGAGGATACATGGGTAGTGCAATTGATTCTGTGTGTTTTCATAATAAAACTTTTTTTAAAAAGACAATTTATTTATTTTTTAAATATGATTTGGTATGAAGGGAATTGCCTGGTATTATTATTGGGGGCAAATTACCATTTCCAAACAAAATAAGAATGAGCATTTACTGAGAACTTCATATGGGCTAAATGCTCTAAAAATACAATCTCAGTACTTTTAACAATGATTTTAACACCCATATGAAGTAGAGACTCGTACCTTCAATTTTATAGATGAGGCAATTGGCACAGAGGTGATGTGACTTGCTAAAGCTTATAGGTCTATTTGGAGAGTACCATGAAAGAATGACTCAAAAGGACAGCTGTGATAATAAGGGTCATCATCTCCACATTTGGTAGAGAAGTTGTAAAAAGCAGTAACAGTACAATAATAGAGGAAAGACAAGGTATTGCAGAGTCAGGAAAGTGGGTCTCCATCACTTATCAGTGAATCATTAGAAAAGTCATCTTGCCTTACTGGACCTCAATTTTCACGCCTGTAAAGTGGGGGTAATATTATCTACTTGGAAGGGTTGTTATGAGGTCATGTGTGAAGCACCCATCACAGGGTCTGACATCTAAAAGATTCTCTTTCCCTCTCTGAGCCTTAGCTTTTTTACTTAAAATGGGCATAGTGTCTAACTTCCCAGTGTCATCATGTGGATCAGCTCTCTAAAGTCCAAAGCAAAGGTAGAGTGTTATCATGAACACAGAAGAATGAATGTCAGATTTGTTTCTGGAGTGTTGTGGGAGTAACCTAAAGCCATGTCTCTTTAATAACCCATCAGAACTTCCTAGTATATGAGTCAGAACAGGGCTCTGAGATAGAATTACATGCACAATCAAGTCTTGATCTACAGAACATAGCATTGTAGTCTGTTAAGCTGGGAGGAACCTCTCAGAACATTTTGTCCAACCTTCTCATATTATGAAAACTGAGTGCCAAGGACTGAGAAGTGGTTTAGCAAAAGGTATGGGGCATGCTGAGGCCAGATACTGCTTTTTTGAGAGATTTTAGAAAAGTCTGAAGCATGAGCCAAGACAGACCATTTGTATGGAAAAACCACTGGAAACAGCTTGGGTGGCACTGAAAGTTGAGTGGGGTGGGGGGGTCTCAGGAAATTACCAGGGCAAGTGAACAATACTACACAGGTTGATGGAGACTCAGATATGGCCCCCCTTCCCATCTCTGGGGGGAGGGCTCATCAAAGGAGCAATGGCCTCTGCCAGCACTTCTGTCTGGGAGAAAGCTACCTCCCCAGCTCTTGCCCTTATGCAGACAATTCAATTCCTACTCATATGTCCCTGGTGCCTTTTGAGCTGCTGCCCCAGTGCTGGAGCTCAGAGGGAGTAAGTCCACACACAGGCTCTTTAAAAGGAACTTCCTGGGGTTCCAGCAGTCTCCGTGTCTCTCAGCCTCAATCCCTGCTGGTTTTTACAGCCAGAAATGATGGGGGCTTCTCTTTTTGGCACTGGAACCTTGCACTGGGGCCTAGTGTGGGGCTGGGACCCTTCGCTTCTCCAGGGGAGCCTTTGCAGCCAAGATATCCCTCCCAATTAAAAACTGCTGCATGTGTGTATAGGACCAGCCCATTCTACATCTCTACCCCTCCTATCAGTCTCGATGTGGCTTCTTCTTTAAATCCCTAGCTGAAGGAATTCCAGTCAGATAGCTTTCAGGCAGTTTCAAGTAATGGTTGTTCTGTAGTTTATTTGTCATTTTGATGTGGTTGTGGGAGGAGGCGAGTACTGCATTTACCTACACCACCATCTTGACCAGAAGTCCTGACCTCAGAACTTTAAGAGAACAAATGTGTGCTGTTTTAGGACATTAAATTTGTGGTAATTTGTTACAGCAGCAATAGGAAAGTCATACAGTTAGTTATCAGCTAAAGAATCACCAACAATGGCTCCTTTCAGTTCAGTGTGAAAAGTAATGGAATACTCTAGAACAGCAGTCGCCAACCTTTAAGACCTGACGGACCACCAGGGGTCTGTGGACCACTGGTTGGCGACCGCTGCTCTAGAAGGTGAGATAAACTTTCCTCTAGGACAAACCCAGGGTGAAGTAGACATATTCCAAGGTGGTGGACTATAATGAGGTGAGACATCTCAAGAAGAGGGTCTGCTTCAGCAGCTGAGAATGAGGGCTGAGGCTTAACCAAGGGTACAAAACCCATCAGCCAGGTCAAGGGTAAGCCTGCCTCTTCTTGACTCCTGTGGCCCTCTGAGGGTGGGAAGGACCTTGGATTCCTACCTGGAAGATTCTGTCCTCTCATTTATCAGATGACGTCTAGAACAGAGCTGTGACCTGTCTTTGACTTTACTGTTAGAGAGGGGGCAGGGTTAGGGGCTCTCCCTCACACTGCAATCTTTTTCCCACGCCTCCCTGACCCTGAACAAATTGGGAGGGAGGAACTCAGTTCCACAGACGCTGAATCACCAAGGTAAGCTTATGAGACCCGAATATTCTAATGAAGAAGTACTTCACCCAGGAATTATAAACAAAAGCATGGAGTCCTGGTGGTGGGGCAATGTGGGACTTCACCTGTTGCACAATATGAGATTTTGTGTTTTCCTTTTTCTCTTTTCATAAAACCTCCTTTTCTTACCCTGAGTCAGGTATCTCCTTACTTGACTTTTCAATTGAGGTTTCTCTGGGTTTCTGGGAGGGGGCCAGAGACAGAACAGGACAGGGAACAGAGCCTACTGTTTGTGGATCAGCTTCTGGAAGCCAGGCCTGTGTTTTTCTTCTCCCTTGCTGTGCCTGCCTCCCCTGTTCCCTTTCTAGATAGGAGGGAGTCTGTATCCTAATGCTCTGGTTTGTGCAAACATTCTGTCCTCTCCCTAACTTACCCCCACCTAGAATGTTCTGTAATGTTCCCATGACAGGGCATTTTCCTCTCAGGAGGCCAGGAGTTGAGTTAGCATGCAAATTGAGCTGCAGATGGTGAAAGGAATCACAGTTCTTCCTGGTGACTGAGCCCAGCGGCCATACGGCTGTCCTGAGCTGTTTTTCATACTCACCCTTCACAGACCCAAGGGACCTGTCCTCTCCTGATTTTCTAGTTGTCTCCACCTGTTCTCCCTTTTTAATGCCTCTCATCTTGATTTCTACTAAATCTAAGCAGACAGAAAAGGGAAAAAGGTGGAGAAACTGAGACAAAACTGTGACTGCATTTTTCTACTTTTTAAATAGTGTGGATGAAAAAGAGGCCACATACTAAACCTGACAAGTGCCATGGAGGCCTGCATGATGGACCTTATAAACTCAAAGACCCAAGTAACCACATAGGATGGTCCGAACATTAAAATTCCTAACTAAAAGTGGGTCATGGCTGGTAGTCACATTCTAGACCTGTAGCTTTGTTGACAAAGTTAATCTTTAAGTGAGCAAGTCAATTTTACTCGAACAACTAAGATATCATACCTCTGAAATATCAGAGTAATTTTCTTTTCCAGATTCCTCGAAGGCACACTCGCACAACCAATGGCACCAGAGCTTGAGACCACATTGTCGTCTTGTTGCCTAAATACCATCTCTGTGTGCAGTAGGTGTTAACTATTCTGTACCGACCAATGCAACAGATATGCCTCTCTGTTTTACTTTTTATCCAATCTTAGGAGATTTCTCCACTTTACTTTCTCACACTCTCTTAATGAAGTTTATGTAACCCTCCTTATATCTCCTCCTTTTATTCTAACGTATAAAATAAACTGCAAAACGGTTATTTTTCGGGAGCATTTGCTCAATCTGTTGATACTCTGTTTACTGACAATTGTCGTCAGTTTGGCTCAATACATTCATTAAAATTCTCAGCAAGTGTAGACGTTTACTACAGTACAATAGTTTCATTTAGGTTTTGCAGACTAAGGACATGTAGGCATGCCCAATGTCTAGACTGTCTTCTTCCTTAGGTTTTTCTTTTTCTTTTTTATTGTTTTTAAAATACACATAACAAAATTTACCATCATAGCCATTTTTAAGCATATAGTTCAGTAGTATTAAACATATTCACATTGTTGTGCAGCAGTCACCACCACCTATCCCCATAACTCTTTCATCTTGTAAATCTGAAACTCTATAACTATTAAACACTAACTCCCCATTCTCTCCTCCCTGCCAGCTCCTAGCAACCACCTTTATACTTTCTGTCTCTATGATTTGACTAAGTACTTCATATAAGTGGAACCACACAGTATTTGTCTTTTTGTGATGGCTTATTTCACTTAGCATAATATCCTAAAGGTTCACCCATGTTGTGGCAAATTGGAGAATTTCCTTTCTTTTGAAGGCTAAATAATATTCCCTTATATGTATATACTATATTTTGCTTATCCACTCGTTGGTCAATGGACACTTGGGTTGTTTCCAAGTTCAGCTTGTGAATAATGCTGCTATGAGCATGAGTGTACAAATAGCTCTTCAAAATCCTGCTTTCAATTTTTTGGGGTATATACACAGAAGTGGAATTGATGTTATATGATAATTCTATATTTAATTTTTTAGGCACGCCTATACTGTTCCTCCCTTAATTTTTTTATATATGTTTGATGGTTGTTGCAGACACCTATATACTATCAAGTGATAATGTGTCATGAGAACTTCCCAAATCCCCAAATTTGTGACTGTCACTAGAGCACTAGAAATCAACTATTCATGGAGACATTTTATTTAGTTTTTCACCAAGAAATAAAGGTTTTATCAGGTAGGCCAAGTGTTCCTCCCTTCCATATGCATGAAAGCATCTGAAGAGCTTTTCTGAACTCCACCATTGGAAGTTCCCCATCGGTGGGTCTGAGATGGGGTTGAAGTGTTTGCAAAGCATGGACTTCCTCTGAATCTCACTCCCTTGAGTCTCAGTCCCATTGACATGAGGGTGCTAATGGAAGTGACCCCACAAGCTTGTGAGGATTCAGTCAGATGATAGGTGTGAAGTACAGGCATAGGTCATAAAGGTGAAGTATTGTTATCATTGAAGGGAGGGCCCTCCTTAGCAACCTTGCAGCTTCCATCATTGAAATGCACGTTTCAGCAAAACTATTAGAGGCCATAATTACCCTTTGCTTCATAGTGGAAACTCCAAGTGCTAGAGTAGCAAACATCACAGTATGTTGTCTTACATAATTTCTGCTAATTAAATTTCTTTTCATAACTGTAGTGAAAGTTCTTTGCCCTCCCCACCCCCATTCCCAATTGGGCTACATGCCAAGGGGAGTATAGGAATATACAGCTTGAAATATCCCATTAACAAATAAACTTGAGGAAGCAAGATTACAAAAGCATGGGGTCAGTGTGTGAGAAATCAGTGTCTCCTTCACTGCAGGAGGAAGTGTAAATAGGCGTAGTCTTTTTGGAGGACAATTGGCATATATTCCAACTCTACAGTAAATACATCCTTTGTATTTCCATGTTTAGGCATCTATTCTGGGAAAACATAGACATATACAGTGGGGCCCTGACTTACGAGTTTAATTCGTTCCGAGACCAAGCTCGTTAAGGATCTCATTAACTCAAATTACTCTATCAACTCAATGCAAAAAATCGGCTGAGAGACAGCTGGTATCTCAAAAAAACTCGTTAGTCGGGACACTCGTAAGTCAAGGCCTCACTCTATAAACAAAGAAGCATCTATAAAGTATATGATGTATATAACAGCAAATTGTTTATGATACAGAAACCACCTAAATGTTCAAGAAAAAAAATCTGGTTAAATAAATTATGAACCACTTATAATAGAATATTAGATAGTGGTTGTTTTTGAAAAGGGGGGAAAGATACTAACATGGAAAGATACTCTCTATGACACAATGTTAAGTGAATAAAGCAAAACAATATAACGTCATTTCTGCAGAAAAGGGAAATATTTGTATATATACATATGTGTGTGTGTAAAAGCTTAGGAAAGCACTTAGAAGAATATACAGTAAACACATGAAAAAATAAAAAAAAAGAACTTTTAAAGATTGTTAACTAAGTGATAGTAGCCATGTCTGAGTCACTTGAAGAGAGGGATTAAGGAGTCCCCCCTTGCCCAGAGTGCTGTGGAGGGTTCTCCTGCAAGTTTTTGGGGCTGTCCACTTTGGCCCCACTCACTCACCAAGGCTGTGCTGCTCAGTAATCTGGCCTCGGGCCAGCCCCCTTGGATTTGGCGTTGGGCTTGCTCTTTGTTGTCCTCTGTGCTGCTTTGGGCCATTGATCTCCCCCCTGTACTGAGCTACTATGTCCTCTTCAGGGACTCTGGTTCCTCCTTCAGACTGAGGGGTCCTGGGTGCTTGTATCCTTTGAGCTTGATTCTGAGATGCTGGGTGTGAGCTAACTACCTGGGGTGGCCAGTCTGAGCCCTCCTCTCTTGACTTGCTTAGTGTTTCTCTGCTTATCCAGGCCTCCCCATAAGTCAATAGTTCTCAACCTGTGAGTCGCGACCCCTTTGGGGGTCGAACGACCCTTTCACAGGGGTCGCGTAAATACATCCTGCATATCAGATATTTACATTACAATTCATAACAGTAGCAGAATTACAGTTAGGAAGTAGCAACAAAAATCATTTTATGGTTGGGGGTCACCACAACGTGAGGAACTGTATGAAAGGGCCGCGGCATTAGGAAGGTTGAGAACCACTGCTGTAGTGCTCATGAGGTGCTTGTCCCAGATCTGACCACCAAGGACGAAACAGGCTTTCTCTTCATTCCCATGGTCATTAGAGTTTTACCTCTACACCCGCTTCTCTGAAATTCTGTAATTGGGATAAGAAAGAGGGCGGGCTTCTTATTCAGGACCCTGTGCAACATTTTGTATTTTTTCACTGTAGTTCAGCTTATTGTAGCCCTCTCTCTAGGAACCTCTCATGTGGAGCAGTGTAGGCTCAGAGACCACCAACCATCAAGAATGGGCTCTGTCTCTCAACTCCCAAGGGCCTTGCCAGCTTGTGATCTTTGAACATCCATCTCCTTGGATGAGTTACATAAGTGATAGGTGGGTAATGTCACCTACTTAGGGGTCTCAGCCCTGGGATGGCTCCAAAACACCACATATTCACCATCTCTCCCAGGAGGACATTGAATCCTCCTGGAACTGGATCTCCAGGAGACACCAGATGGGACAACACTTAGCTTCATAGTTAAGCTCTTACTCTGAAATTCAACATTACACAGAGAAAATTCTTTTCTTTGGCCATTGTTCCTAAAGACACCAGGAAAACCAGTGCTGAACTGTGATGTAGCAATGAACAAAGGGCTAGAAGGTGTTCCTGAACTTTCCTCTTTGTGATTTGCATATCCGAGAAAACATACCCTAATTAGAGAGAAACCAGTTATTAACTAGAACAGAGGAACTAGATCATGTCATCCTCTTCCTGCTCTACTGCCCCGCCCCACACTCCTTTCTGGTAACACTGAGGGTATAAATTGTGGCTGGGCTCTGTGTGTGCATTCACATCAAAAGCCAAAATGAAGACATGCACAGTCTTTGCTCTAGTGGCTTTCATCACCGTGGGGATGGAGATGGCCTGTGGTGACCCTCTGACACCTCCTGTCCAAGGTGAGGGTGCTGAGGGGGGTCCTTCCTGACAGCAGAGAAGGCTCAGAGCCCAGCTTCAGACCTGAGGATGGTTTGGCACAGAAGCAGGCAGTGTGTTCACTGCAGAATGGAGATTTTGGACTGATCAGATCCACATTCTTTGACTCTCAGGAGTGATCACCCTGCATTCCCATTCTTCTTATCTGATCAGATTGGGTCTGAATAGAAGTTGGGGTTTTCTCTAGATATGCCTTGGATGCGGGACTCCAACAGGAGTAACTCCGTGATCAACATGGGATATGTGTGAGGTGGGGAGATGGCTGTCTGTGATCAGAGATTTTTCTAATATCTTATAAGGTGGAAAGGAGAGGGTTATGAGAGCGCAGGTTTCTTGTCTGATGGGACTGTGCAGCCTTTGGAGCAGGGAGAACATTCTCCTAAGGGCCTGACTGTGAAAATGGGGGCTCTAGAGTAAAAGTGGAGCTGCTGAGGCTGAGGGTTGGATCCAGGAACATGAAGGAAGGAATGGAAGAGGTGGGAGTCCTGCTAGTGGCGAGGCCATCCGACCTCAAACACCAGTTCTCACGCCTGTATAGCGACTGTTCCAGATTGCACAAAAACCGTTGTATGTTTCAGAGCAACAAAGACCTGGAGTCTGCCCGAAGGTGTCTTCAGACGTCATTGGGCCTTGTTATGATATATGCACAGGAGATGCATCATGTCCCAAGGGAATGAAATGCTGCGTCCATGGATGTGGTCGTGTCTGCAAAACTGCTGTCCCTGCAGTGAGTATAAATCAATCAAGAGCTGTCCAGGGGTGCAATAACTTCCTAGTGGACTTTGCTAAGGCAGATGAGTGCTCACGTGTCCACTGCCTGCAGGAATCTGGATAACCCAAGAGAAAGAGTCTGGAAATGAATGGCAGAAGGACACCTGGCTGCGTTATCCAAGACCCTCTCCTCGAAGAGAAGCCCCATCCCTACCCCTGGGTGGCTCTCAGTTGAGACAAGTAACCAGGATCCTAGGTTCTCAGGTCATTATTATCCCAGGGTTTCCCACCCTCCTTCTCCTTCCCCACCAAGGGGGCTTCACTTTCCTGGAAATGAATGTTTGTGGGAAGATGGGGAAAAGGAAAGGGAACACCAATTATTGAGTATCTTCTGTGTTTGTCAGGCATTGTGCTGAAGCTGAGATAAAAAGATAAACACAACCAGACAGGGAGACAGAACTATGTAAAAAATTACAACAGTGTAACCATGGCTTTGTACTAGTTTCTACTAAGGTCGTGGGCGCAAAGGGAAAGTTATTGGCTTTGCCTGGGAGGTTGGATCAGTGCGTGTTGGGAAGGTTGTTGGAGAGTAGAGAACATTTAAGGAAGTGCTTAAAGGAGGCATAAAGTTTGCTGGAGGAAGGAAGGGAAGTTCAGATGGTGGGAGAAGTGTGGGTCCATTGGAGATGGGAAAGTGACTGTGGTAGAAGTTGCAGCATTTCAGGGGCACAACATCTCAGCATCTTAGTAGAGGGTCATCTAAGCCAGGGTCCAAAGAAGAGAGAGATGCCTGTCAGTTTGGTAGACTGCTGGAGGTTTCTGAACAGAGGAAGTGTCATGATCAAATTTGTATTTCAGAAGGGTGGCTTGGGTGGCCCAGTGAAAGATGGACAAGGTGTTTATTAAGCGTGCCTGGAGACCATCCTCAGAAGATTTCTCATGAATCTGATGCTTGGCTAACAAGACTCTTCTACAAACCATTCCTGGCTATTCTCTATCCCTGGACTTGCAGCTCTAGAAGATGAAGATCTAAAGTGGTGGAGTGACCACTTCTAAAGAGCTTTTGTCCAAAATAAACCTTATCTGTGGCATGATTCAGGCTCTGTCATTCTTCCCATTTACGCATTCTAGTGGACCTCTGTGGATGGGCAGGACCATATGTGTATCTTGCACTGAGCCCATGAATGCAAGGTACTCATGAAAGATCAGAGGCAAGATCCTTCCAGCTAGTTCCTTTCCTCCTTCCATGTCCATGTCTCTAGACAGGGCAAAGGGCATAATAATATTTTCTCAATCATTCTGTGAATAAAAATGACCTTCTAGCACTTAGCAAGCCTATTGGAGCAGGACTGGATGCCTAACTCCAAGAGAGCAACCCCAGCCCTTGGGATGTGGGACTTTGAGTGGCAAAGACTGGGAAGTGCCAGCTCCTGCCCTGGAGTGACTAGGAGTTAGGGTACAGTTAGGACAGAGGCTCTGTGGGTGGAGTCTTTGATTCAGAGTTTTCCTGAGGCAGAGGATAAACCTAGGTCTCCCAAAGAAGCCTTGACAAAAACTATGGTCTGAGCTGACCGCTACAAGCTCCATCTCCCAGCGCTCTCTGTTCACTTTCCCACCTTGATTCCCCCCACTTAGCCTGCTGAGTTTGGCAGGCTCCCATCAACTTGTCCCTGTCCATCACGCTGCTGTTGCTTCTCCATAGCACATCTTATAACCCCAGTGGCCCATGGCCTCACCAGTCTGTACATTGGAATGAGCATATTAGCATCAATATCTTCTTTTACTGGTTGGTCACCTACATCCCAAACCCCAGCATGCTTTAGTCACTCTTGGTCATTTATGGGGGTTCATAGACACCTCTAACATGGTCTCAAACAATTTCACCTATTGTCTGCCATTCTGAATGCCAAAGATACTTGAGAATGGCATCCTACAACTTCCACTTACGTTTCTGCCCTTTAGATAGTCCTGAAATCCCTAGAAAGTTGTTTGTGCTCTTTTGTCAGCTTCTCATTTTTTTTTCTCGCCTGCATTCCAACCCCCTTTATATTTTGGAGAAAACTCTTCTTTCTCCTTATGGAAATTGACAAGGGCCAGACAGTCTCACCCTGCTTCCTAGCAGGTAGGGTTTGGAATTAGGATGCTATTTTCTGATGATGTGGATTGATAGGGAGTGACACTTAAGACTTATGAATTGTCAAAACCAATTCACAACAGCAGAGGTGCCAGTGACAGCATCCTAACCAGATTTGCCACGGGCTGAACTTGGCTATGTCCTCTTCTACCTGCTGTATTTAGGTCCTTGATATTTTTCCCAAGCCTGGTTCACCAGCCGTTCCTACTGTTTCTGTGAGCTGTATAATAATGTCTTTCCAGAATTCCTGCTCTCTCAAGTTGGACAGAATTGGCTTTTTTGTTTGCATCCAAGAACATTAACTTGTACAGAAATTGGTGTCAGGAGTGGACACAGGCCAAAAATACTCAGGGAGATGGCAGGAGTCTGGGTTTTATGAACTGGTCTAGTTAGAAGCCCCCTTGTTCACATGCCTATGCTCTCCTGTTCACGTGGCCCACCCCCTTAGAACTTGTTGGTCTCTGTTTTGGGGAGCCACCTCCATGGTGGGCAGAGCTACAAATGGAACCCTGGGTTGCTCACAACCTGTGTTTCTTTACCTGTGACCTCTGGCTGAGCGCCCCTCACCCTGTGGCCATTTGCTCTACTGGACTTCTCCCTTCCCCGACCCCCCTCTCCCACCCTCAGTGGACAGGGGTCCTGTCATTGCACCTGTGCCTCTGGGCGGCTGCTGGGTGCCTCCTGGTACAAGACCCTGATGCCACCCCACCTCTGTGGCAGCATCTCTCATCCCCTGGATACCCCATTCAGTGCTCCCCTGCAGCTCCAAGGACCTGCTGAGCCCAGGTCCCAGCCTGTCACTAGTTCCCCAAGTCCTGCCTGCAGCCCAGGATCCTCAAGGCAGTCTGAGAGGAGGATAGACCCCTTAGACAGAGTGGTGCAGACACCAGGTGGGTACTATGCCCCACTCTCATGTGATCCTGTAGCCCCGCCCCCGAGTTCACATGCCCATTTCTGCTTGATCACGTGGCCCAGCCCCCTTGTTCATGTGCTCACTTCCGCTTGATCAAACCAGTCTGGGAGGGGCTGGTGGGTTGACCCCTTATACAGAGGGGTGCAGACACCAGGTGGCCTTGAGCACCAAGTCTGTGCTGATGTCCAGCTCCTGGAGGGCTCGGCCTATGCACTGCAGCCACCAGAGGGGACCCATCTGCAGAGTGGCAGGCGGAATAGGCCTCCCGGGGCAGCTAGATGCCCACCTGGCCCCAAAGCCATTCTTCAGCCTCACACTTACCTCTTCTGAAGGGTAACCAGGTGTGGTTTCCACCCAGCCCAGCTGCCTGCCTTGGGAGGCAGCAGAGACTGTCACCCTCTGCTGGCCAATTCCTGTTACTGCAGAAGGTAAGAGTCATCCCTGCAGCCCAGCCCTTGCCCACCAGAAGCCAGCCCAGCACATCCTTCCCATTTCACAGGTCAGAACCAGCGGCGCTTCCCTCAGCCGGGATGGAGCAGAGCAGGATGGGGAATCAGGACGGTCTCTGCAGCTGATGTGTGTGGTCCCCATTTTCTCGAGCCCAGAAGGCTCCAGGGACCTCTGTGCATTTGTAACTAGCTATGTCCCTGTATTTCCCTCATGTCCACCTGCTTCGTATCCTGAACACCGTAGGCTCAAGTGGGTCCGCCTTCCTCTCCTCAGGTCCACACCTCCAGTCTGCCCGGGTTCAACGGGCTCCCCTCAGGTTCAGTGCGCCTCTCACCTCAATTCCCGCTGGGCCCACGCCTACTCTCACTATTGAATTAAGATTTATTTCTGTTACTGAATTTAATGTTTTTTATTGACTATATTTTTATTGCTTTCTTGTTTTTCTTTATCATTTCCATTAGCTAGATTAAATTCGCATCTGCTGTTTTGAAAGTCATACTTCTCTTTTTATTCTTCTAGAATTTACCCCTGTGGTTTTTAAAGCATGTTAATATTCTCACCTATTCCAGAACAGGGACATTACCTTAATGTGCCCTCATTTCTCTTTGGACATGCACTCTCCAACCCCATCCCACTTGGTAGACAAGTAGATATGTCATATGGAATTTTAGTTCTTGATTTCTTGACTTCATGTTTGCACTTTAAAAAGTTGTTTATTTTGATAATAGCCAAATTGGTCAGGTTATAAATCCACCCTTACTTCCTATGTATTTGTATCCTCTTTCTGGTCCCCTCCGCTTTCCACTGGAATGTTTCCCCCAAGAGTGTTTTCAAAAAAGGTCTTTTTAGCTTTGGATGCCTGAAGATATCTTTGTTTTGTCCTCACATTTAATTATAGTTTACTTGGATGTAGCATTCTAGGTTTAAATGTTTTCTTTAACACTTAGACTATTTCTTCATTATCTTCCTGGTTAGAAATGCTGCTGAGAATTCTGAAATTAACCTGATTCCTTTATAAGCAGTCTTGTCTTTCTCTCTGAAACTTATAAAATTTGCTATTTTAGAATTGTGGTTATATTTCTTTGTATGTGTTCATGTGTGACATTCATTCATTTATTCATTCATTCTACTGACACTTTATCAGCCTTCAAACTAGGATTTTTTTTTTCCTTGCAGCCCCATGGCCCCACTGGCTCAAGCATGGACTATAGGGACTGGGGACAAATCCAGGTTATAGTCCCCTAGTCCAGTGATGGCGAACCTATGACCCGCAAAGTCATTTTTTTGGTTGATTTTTCTTTGTTAAATGGCATTTAAATATCCTACATAATAAAAGCCTAATATGCAAATCAAATGAACGGCAGAACAACCAGTCACTGTGATATGCATTGACCACCAGGGGGCAGATACTTAACGCAGGAGCTGCCCCTAGCCCAGCCATGGGCAAACTACGGCCCAGCCCGTTTGAAATGAATAAAACTTAAAAAAAAAAGACTGTACCCTTTTATGTAATGATGTTTACTTTGAATTTATATTAGTTCACACAAACACTCCATCCATGCCTTTGTTCCGGCCCTCCGGTCCAGTTTAAGAACCCATTGTGACCCTCGAGTCAAAAAGTTTGCCCACCCCTGCCCTAGCCCATAGGCCCAAACTGGTGGTGGCGGTTGGGGGTGGAGCCAGCAAGCAGGCGGCACCATGCCAGCCAAAATGGCCCTCCTCCCCCGCCCCGATCACCCTGCCGGTCATCACACAGAGGGAGGCAACCAGTGGTGGCGGGGGAGTGGGCCGGACAGCAGGCCGTGCCATGCCAGCCAAGGTAGGTGCCAGCAGGGGTCCCCGATCACCCTGCCAGTCGCCCCGCAGATAGGCCCTGATCTCCAGCCAGGCCTAGGGACCATACCCATGCACGAATTTCGTGCACCAGGCCTCTAGTATAAAATAAGTATCAAAAATATAAATCTTTGTTTTACTATGGTTGCAAATATCAAAAAATTTCTATATGTGACATGGCACCAGAGTTAAGTTAGGGTTTTTCAAAATGCTGACACGCCAAGCTCAAAAGGTTCGCCATCACTGATGTAAACTAATCCATTGCAAGGATACAATTCAGAGATTTTTTTAGTAAAAGTGTTCAGCAGGGCAACCATTGCCATATTTCAGTTTTAGATATTTCCATTACCCCTAAAAGTTCCTCTGCCCATTTACACTTCACCCTGCTTCCACCTCCAGCTCTAGGCAACCACTGATTTGAATTTTCTCTTTATAAACTTGCTTTTTCTAAACATTTAAGCATGTACTCTTTGATCACTAAATAATATTCCATTTTATGGACATCATTGGCTGCTTTTCATTACCAAGCTTAGAAAAGATTCTAGTTGCATTATCCTAATGTGCTTATTCCTCTGAAACTATCCTATTAAATACACTGATATATTTTGTAGTTATTTGTATTACTTACAAATTTAATCCCTTTTTGGTTCTCTTGTATTCTTCTGGCAAACAAACCTTCTTGTAGCACATCTGGGATACCCCAATTGTGTAGGTAAATTATAGCAATATAGAGCATAGCCAGCAGATGGAGACAGAGAACACCAAATATTCAGACTCAGGTGACCCTATGCTGTTTCTCAGCCTCAGGCCAGGCCAGAGGAAAATGAGGTTGGACTTGAAGAGAAACACCTGCAGGAGGACCCCTTCTCTTCTTCATTGGTCTCTGATTTTACTTTCTGGTTCCAAAGTAGGCAAAGCTCTCACACTGAAAGCCAAAGGGTGACTTTGATTCTGAGCAAACTTCAGGTGGAGTGTAAGGGAGAGGTGGCATTGACCTGGGGTTGGGGGACCTAGAGTCTCACCCTCCCTCCTCTCAGGCCTCAGTGTCTTCATCTGTATGAGGAGTGAGTTCAAGGCCACTAAGCCTTTACCTGGCTTCCACCACTTCCCAGCACTGGTGGCCTCTTTTTTTTTCTTTTGTTTTTGCCATTTGGAACATGCCTGGCCTGTTTTGGATCAGAACTGGCGCAGCATCAGCAAGTTTATGGTTTTACAAGCCCTGGAACATGCTTTGCCAATAAATGACAAAGGCATTAGGAATACTGCATGGAAACAAAGGTGAGACTGTGGAATTGTACAAGGGAAGGAAAGATGCTGGCGATGAAACACCTGTCCTTGAGTTTGAAACCAGCTGGGCAAGTGACCACAGCCTGTGGGAGGCCCACAGGCGCTAGGAATACTGCATGGCACTTGCCCCTAGTGTGTGGTATGGTAGGCAGTTTGGGGGCTACATAGGCAAATCATTTTTAAAAATGTCTAATCAGAAAATAATTTTCAATTACCTTTCAATCTTTCTGATTCATTTAAGGAGTCTTGCTGTGCTGGAATTTGTGAATCTCACAACTTTGGTAATCTGTCCCTTCCTCCCTGACAACAGTCTCCCAGCCCCCACTTTTTATTAAACAGAGAGAAAATAGGGTTTAACTCAGGAGCGTCACCTGTCTAGAATTGGGTAATATTGATTTGCTTTACTGCATTTATTTTTTGTGGTTACTTTCCATTGATGAAAAGTGGTATTACTTTTTCCACTTAGAGTAGTTAAAACGTTATCTTAAAATATATGTACTTAAGTTTAAAAAACTGAGTTAGTTTCTACACAAATATTAAGTAATAGCGTATGTTCTACACAGATGTGACAACACAGGACACATGGTTCCTGGGGTTTGGGAAGCACTGGTGGGTGGATTCCCCAACACAAACTGGCATTGTTCAGAGGGGGGAGGTTTCTCTGGGCACCGCAATGGTGCCTGTAACGCTATTTACATCTACTGGTAACTCGGTTTCCAATCTTTTTTTTTCTTTTTAAAACAAATGCTTACCTTTTCCTGATCATGATTGTATAAAACTTGGAAATACAGAAAGACATATAGGACAAGAGGAGAAAATATAGAAAAATATACAGAATAGAAAGAAAAATCACTCATTGCTTCTCTACTAAGAAATAACCACTCCTAATACATTGGTAAATTTTTCTTCCTCAGCACACCAACATAGCTATTATTATAATGTGTATTTTTTATTCTTTTTTTTTAAAATATATTTTATTGATTTTTTACAGAGAGGAAGGGAGAGAGAGATAGAGAGTTAGAAACATCGATGAGAGAGAAACATCGACCAGCTGCCTCCTGCACATCTCCTACTGGGGATGTGCCCGCAACCCAGGTACATGCCCTTGACCAGAATCGAACCTGGGACCCTTCAGTCCGCAGGCCGACGCTCTATCCACTGAGCCAAACCGGTTTCGGCGTGTATTTTTTATTCTTAAGCCCATTTTATTTCCTTAACATTACAGCCTAAGCATGTCCCCATATCACTGAAGGGGTCCTCCTGCAGGTGTTTCTGTTCAAGTCCAACCTCATTTTTCTCTCTCCTAATTGACACCTAGCTGGGGGCTTGCTTGGCTCAAGAAAGAATCACACACACACACACACAAATCACAGATCTGTGAACTTCAGGAGAAGGAGGGACTCATATGACTCATTCAACCAACGTCCAGGAGAGACTCTCCATCCGCCAGTGTACCTGGCACTGCCGCCTCATTTAATAGAAGACAAGACGTCCCAGAGAGGAAGTGTGACTCACTCAGGATGGCCCCGCTAGTAAGCAGCTGTGCTGGGACTTGGATACGAGTCTCTGGGTCCAAAGCCAGTGCTCATCTCAACAAAAAAAGTTTTAAAGATAAAATTCATTTTCAAACTTGGGCAAGCATCAATGGAGCCGTAATTAAAATTTATTTATTTAATCCATTCATTCAACAAATACTGATTGAGTGGGATATGCCCATATATATTGACAAGAGATGCATGGTATGACCGCCTGGTAGCATTAAAGAACTGCGTGAGGTCTGGGGCTTTGAATTTAAAATATTTTTTTTAGTGATTTCAGAGAGGAAGAGAGAGGGAGAGAGAGAGAGAGAAACATCAATGATGAGAGAGAATCATTGATCGGCTGCCTCCTGCACGACCCCTACTGGGGATTGAGCCCGCAACCCGGGCATGTGCCCTTGACCGGAATAGAACCTAGGACCTTTCAATCCACAGGCTAGTGTTGAGGTTTTGAATTTAAAGTGTGAGCCACCGGCATGGTTGTGCGTTTTTCTCGAACCTTATGCAGCTACACAGGGTCAGGCACCAAGTAAGTGGAAAGTTAGATCTAACCCGGTTGTGGTTTTGCCAAAGGAATATGATGAAGTGAAGAGGGAGAGTTGAGGGTATGCAAGAAAGTGATCAAGATGAGGAATCATAGGATTTAAAAGTGAATTTTATTTTAAAACTTTACAAAATGAATGTTGAAACCAGGCCGTGATGCCTGTTCAGGTTGATTGATAATATTGTCATCTTTGTACCGAAGCTGTCTTAAGAGTGTTTGCCTGGGCTGGGTCAGCTTGTAGACGCAGGAGGTTCTCCTTGATTTACATTGCTGTTTGAGCCAGTGCTCGACCTGAGGGCCTCAGGACGTTCCTTCCTCCGGAAGGAGCCTTTTGAGACAAATCTCAGGGTCAGTCCAAAGCTCAGGAGCTGCAACTCAACTTGTAAAGCCCTTTTATAGCATTACTTGCATAAGTAAATAGTTGGCTTCCTATTTCAGGAAGGGACGTATTTGTTCTCAAGGCTGCCTTGTGTCCTGGGCACCCACTGGGGTCCTGGAAAGCAGCCACTCCTCTCCTGACATCGTTTTGAAATAGCCTGGGCGATTTGGACTCTTCAGCCACAAAATGCAAGAGTACACCGAATTCAGCTGAAATGTAAGCCGCACTGCTTCCCCTCTCAGTTTGGTCGTCTGTCCATCCCCTAACTTCTCATAGCACTTCCTGGGAATCTGGCCTCCTTGCCACTTATTGTAGGGGCCTATGCATGATAGGCATTACTTGGTTTTCATTGATGTCAGCAGTGATAATGATTAAGTGCAAACACCCCACCCCATTCACAGGTCTCCTTTTTTCCTGCAGATCCCCATGTGAGTGAAAGTGTGAATGCCTTCCAGAATTTCTCCCAGAACTTGTACCTAGAGTTCAGGTGAAGTGAAAGGGTAGAAAGTAAATTCTTTTTTGTTGTTATTGTTGTTGTTGTTAATCCTCACCCAAGGATATTTTTCCATTGATTTTTAGAGAGTGGAAGGGAGGAGAGAGACACACAGAGAGAAACATGGAGGTGAGAGAGAGACATCAATTGTTTGCCTCCCACATGAGCCCTGACCAGGGCCGGGGATCAAGCCTGCAACTTGATCCGTGCCAGTGACTGGAATCAAACGCAGGACCCTTCAGTCCGAGGGCCAACATTCTATCCACCGAGCCAAACTGGCTAGGAGGAAAGTAAGTCCTCCTGACATGAATCACACCACCACCCTTCCCGCACTTCAGATTTCGACCTCTACCCTACCTAGACGCGGCAGTCCTTGGAAAAACCCAGAACAGAAACTTCCCTGCCAAGTGAAGGTATAAGAAAAGCAGAGGTATATGCACATATTAAAAATGTATCAAGATGTACACTTCAAATGTGTACTCTTTACTGTAGGTAAATTATAATCCAATAGAAATTTTTAAAATAAAGCAAATTCTAGATTATGTTCTAACCAGCATAGGATCTAGGGGTGGGAGCCAGCAAGAATGCACAGGTTACCCACGTTCAGATCCCAGTGTTCTTGGTTGCCTTTGACAAGAGGACATCAAAATAGTGATGAGTGATTGCCTATTGTTGTTTCCAAAAGAGAACAATACCAGGTAAGGCACCCCACCCCCTACTCTTGCCCTCACATTCTCAATCCCTACAAGAGATTTAAACAAGAAAAACCCAGGAAATTCCAAGTGTGAATACCTCCCCAGATAAGACAGAAATGGAAGAAAACCAAACTTTTCAAAGTAAGCATTTTGATCTTCATGCAAACATGGAGTTAATCTCAGGACAGCTAAGCACAATTACACAGATGAATTCATTGTGTGAAATGGTCATTGAGCGTAGAGAATGTTAGTGCCAGTTCAGAGTCCAGGCTCTGCAGGGGTCATACCTGAATCTGCTGAGTTGAGCACATGGAAACCTCCGTGTGCATTCAGGCTTGACCATTGTTTTTTCATTTATTTCAGAGTTGCTCACTGGAGTGGCTTCAGGAAATGCAAATCGAATGTCTGTAGCGGTATTTAAAGACAGGAAGGGTTTCGATGTGTGTTAAACTGAAAATATGAATAAATGTCTTTTGGGATGTATTTACATGTACTAATATTGTTATTAAGATAATGGTATAATTTTTATAATTCTTTGCCCTTCAAATCAGCTTCTATTCGTACAGAAAGAATACAAGCATTAGACTGGGGACCATGGCAACCAGGTTCTAGCTGCCATTCCATCTCAAATTCTCTGGGCGTCCTCGGTTACTTCCTTCTTTGACTCTGGGCCTCCACATTGTAAACTGAGGAGTTTGGACCACGTGGTCCAGCTCTCTAGTTCTGAGGCTGCAACTCAGTGGAGTTTGGAAACACCACTTCCCTTCCAGGATTTTATTGTAAGCAAATGGGAGATGTTTTTACCGTGTAAAATGCATAGGACTCTACAGTTGGTTTGACCTACCAAACCCACAAACTTAGGGCCACAGTTGGAGAGAACTCAAGTCTTTGTTTTAAATAGCTGTCCCTGTTCCAACCGAGAGAAATATTTAAACTCATCAAGTATCATTGGCCATGGTGAATGTGTGAAATGCAACACTATACAGAGAAATCTCTCCGTGTTTACAACCATAACATATTTGCACTGAAAGAGTCCTAAGCAAACATGCAGGCCCAGAGAGGTCAAGCAACTTGCCCAAGATCACACAGGCAGCAGGAGGGAATGGGGACCAACATGTAGGTCTCCTCGCTCCCAGCCTGGTCAGAACTGCTACATGTGCCCTTCAGAGTTAGAAAAGCTCACCTTTTGGACTTGTCTGTCCATATTTGCCTATATACCCTTCTCAGGAAATAGAAATGTTGAATTTTATTTTTTAGAGTTGGATCTTATTGAAGTTTACTATAGAAATGACAACTGATGAAACACTCACAGTCACCTAATCTCTAGGACAGTTTCACAAAATAAATGATGATGGGTCTTTGTTCAAAGCTGCCCCTGCCTCTTCATCAGCAGCAGAGTAACCGGGAGGCAAGAGAAGGAAAGGGGATTCCCAGACTCCCTAGGAACTGAGCAGAAGCAGCCTCAGCTGGATAGGTCTGTGTGGACTTCCTAAATTTGCATCAGAACAAGGTCCTGGTGTGCTGATGGAGCTTGGGCCTACGGAAAACAAGGTGGTATTAGAGTAAGAAAATGACAAAACAAATCTGAGTATGTCTCACAGTGTCCCCTGACCTTGCATCTTTGGGGAAGGTACTCCCATTGCTAGCATTCTCAAATGCCTGAGCCGCCATACACTTGTTACCCAAAGTCAGACCTTATACACAAGGTGCCACACTTCTGCTCAAATGCACTTGAATTCGGGGGTCATGTCTATACATGTCTCCTAGGGAGGGAGGGGAGGGTCTGGAGGCAAGGCAAGGAACTGTCAGCTGAAGCTAAGAGAAGTTAGCGTGGCATGGTGGAAATGGCGAGGAACCAGAAGAGCCAAGTTTCACTACCATCCAGCTGTATGACTTCGGGCAGGAAACGTATCTTCTCTGTTTCCTCACCTGTGCGAAGGGGAGAATCCCATCTCCTGAAAGCACTGTTGAGGGGATTAAAGGAGAAGATCTATAGTTCCCTTTCTCTGCCCCTTTCCTTAGCAGGATCTACATGAGAGATGCTACCATGTACTGACCACCTATGAGGTGCCAGGCACCTACTAGCTCATCATCACATTTGAAAGTGTTTTCACAAATGTCAACTATGGAAAGATATGGTACCCAAGGTAGGATGTCACGTTGACACTCAATTCTCACCCACCTCAAACCAACTGTTGCACTTGTTTGTGAAACAGTAATATGGCATGTGGCTCACTTGTGTATTCTCCAGTATCTTCCACTGGAGATGGGAGAGCTTCCATCTTGCCTTTCTTCCATTCCCAGTCCCACTCTACTGCTAGTGTCATCTTTTGTAGTTGACGCTGACCTCTAAACCCGCTTAAGTAGGAAAGGCAGCTTCCCATATGTGAAAGAGGAGGGGCCACAGTGTCCTTGGCAAGACACTGTCTTCCAGCCCTACATGCTCCCTTCTCAGCTTCCCCCAACACACAGTCATCTTCATACTGGACATTGTTGGCCTCCAACCGATTCCGATACAGAAGAAAGCACCTGTGAGGTATCAACTTGGCTCTCCCAGTCACTTGGAGGCCAAAAGTATCCCACTGTCAGCAGCTAAAAGCAAATCAGCCCAAAAAGCATCCCTGTGCCTCATCTGAACACAATCTCTGCTTTGAACCTTATGCCAAGTCTAAGGCTTATCAGCCAGAGTGTGTGTGAATTACCATATGAAAGAACTCTCTTGGATCACATTGAAAAGAATCCTCTTTTTAATTTAGATAAGAGGAACGCCCAATTCTCCAGAAAATAGATATAATTCCTCTCTAAATGTCCAAACATTTATGCCCATAGAAGATGTAATGATCTCCTTATAGAATAAAGAAATCTCTCAGCTATGAGGAAGAGCCAAGAAGCCTGAATTTTCTGCTGGGGACAGCAGCAGGGCCGCCACGGAAGGTTGTCCAAGTTGTTCACTGCACAAGGGTGTTGGTTTATGGATGCTGGAGGGGCTGGAAGGGAGTGGCTTAAATCCAGCCTGCACTCCACTAGCTGAGCTGCATGCTCAGTGAGAGATTATGTCAGTTCAAAGGGAGGTGTACCTTTCAGTAATTCAGCAACGCCCCTGTGTATGCTAGTAGGCAGCTCCCAGCCAGGAGAAGTAGGTCTTTGCTTACAAACACATCATCTTCCAAAGGCTGGTGGCAAGAGCAGATAGCAGAAAGGCACAAGTGAAGGCTGGGTCCGGGGGGGTGTGAGGAGAAGCTGCTCTTGGAGACCATCTGGGTGTCGGGAGGGGCTTATGCCCCCAGTGGCTCCCAGCTGGCTTCCAAGGCTGCTCGGTTTGAGAAGAACCCAGTAAGGGACTGCTCCTTGCTCTCCCTGCCCTTCACTATTCTCCATTAAGGCTCAGGTTGGCCTTCCCTGACCTCCCAGCCTTACCCTTCCCTGTTATGGGTTCTCAAAGCAGCTCTGCTTTTCCTTGATAGCTGTCATGTTGCACTTGGCAAGAATATGTGTGTAGGTCATTTGATTCCCGTCCACCTCCCCTGCGGGACTGTAGGCTGTCTGAGGGGGTACTATATTGGGTTTTGCTCTTATATCCCCAGCACAGCGTCTGGGCCACAAAGCAGGAGCTATGAATGGATGGAAATGGTGTGAATGAAAGGGCATGGGTCTTGCACTTCTGCATCCCTTCCTGGGCCTGACAAAACACACTAGTAAAAATACAGCTTCCCAATTCACCCGAGGAGACTTGGGATTCGTATGTTTACAAGGTTTTCCGAGTGATGCTAAACCACCCATCAGGACTGCGAACCCACACATACTGTTGCAATAGATATAGGAACCTGAGACACTAAACAGAGGGAGCCTGAGGTCCAGCCTGAAGTCTCCTGGGAGGCCTTCTGGTGGAAATGACGCCTCAGCCAGGTCTCGATGGTAGTGTGACGTGAAGAAAGGGAAGAAGGGCATTCTGGGCCAAATGAACAAAAAAACGAGAGACAGGACAACACCTGGGGTACGTTATGGAACAGGGCAGTGGGACTGAACCAAAATGACAACAATGAGCCCCTGGTAGTAAATCAAGCACAAGTCATCCACCATTCGACTGGGCTTCCAGAACTCTTCGGGGCAGGAAACCCACATTCCAGCAATCCACAGAGGAGTCCCTCTACACCCCCATTTGCAATGCAGGCCTCATTCCTATTTTGGTTTCCATTTACCTCTCTCTCTTTCTCTCATGAAACTGTGACCTCACGAATAGCCTTCTGAGCGCAGCGCCATCAGGGCAGTCCTGCCGCTCCAGACACCCACATGGTCTCCAAGACCCACCCACGACCAGGCCTTCACTTCTGCTTTTCTGCTCTCTGCTCTTGCCACGAGTCTTTGGGAGATGGATTTGCAAGCAGAGGGAAGACCTGTTCCTCCTTGCTGGGGGCTGCCTGCTCGCATACACGGGGCCTTGATAAATAGGCCTGATTTAAGAATTCCCAACTGTCCTGGATGGAAAGAAGAGGTGCTCACGCTGGCAAAATTGTAGGAGCAGCCACAGCCAGGGTGCCCAGCCATGCTCACCAACGAGGCAGGAATGGGTCGTTTTACTCCACTTAAAAGCAATGTCCAGAGCATAAAGATCAGGGCGCAGAGGGGCCTGCACGTTGTTTCACTTTATTTTTATTGAGCTCAGAATGGGAGGCGGGGGAAGGGGGCAGAGGATGGGGTCCAAGGTTGGGAATGACAGAGCGGGTGCATGTGGAGGGGAGGGCGGATCCTCGGAGATCTGCCTTGGCTGGAGTGGGAACCGTCCACAAGCTGGTGAAGGAAAGACCGCTCACCCCCGACCCCAGCTCCTGTCCATCCCTCTCCACCTTCCATTGCCTCTGTTCCTGCTCCTCCCCTCTCCTCCCTTCCCCTCCTGCACTGCTGGCCAGGGGCTCCAGCTAGGTTGGCAGGCGATCCTCCCTCTTAACTGGACTTTTTAAGCTGGACTTTTCTCATGAGCCCAGCTGTTGCCTGGACAGGTTTTCTAAGACCAGCGAATATGCCGCGGAGAGGACGGGAGAGGCCTCAGCACAGTTTCCCTCTCTTTGGACCGGGTGGACCTGAGGCCTCGGCCTCTGCACCCAGCTGCAGACCCAGGCGTCCTCTGAGCAGTGCCCTGTGCCACAGTTCAGCGCCACCCCACCGAAGCCTGCACTATCTTGTCTGCTGTCCAGTTACAAATTAATCTCTTGCCATCAGTGATTAACTTCTTCGAGCCACAGGAGCTGCTGAACCAAAACAGCCCCTTGGGGTGAGAGAGTCTGCAGGTCCGTGCGGCGTGTGGATCTGCCTGTGACCCCCGTCACTCTGGCCCCTTGCTGTGTCAGCAGGGGAGCAGGGCCCGGGACAGGGTCCCGCTCTGGGCACTGCTGCTCCGGAATGCTTGCTGGGCTCCTCAAGGTGGAGACCCAC